GTGTGTGTGTGTGTGTGTGTGTGTGTGTGTGTGTGTGTGTGTGTGTGTGTGTGTGTGTGTGTGTGTGTGTGTGTGTGTGTGTGTGTGTGTTTTTGCGGGGGCGGCCCCCCGAAAAAACAACGAAAGTCTGCTGTTTTTGTCGAAGGGTTTCGGGGGGGGGGGGGCTCCGCAGTTGAAAGCAAGAGTATGTCAGAAAACTTCGCGGGAAACTCCCGAACAACCTCCCAATTCAATGGTTATTCTAGGGTTTCTCTGTGTTTTTTTTTCCCCCCCGGGGAAAACCAACAGAAAAAAATCCCCACTCGGGTTTGTGTTTGTTTTTGTTGTGCTTCTGGGGCCCCATAATTAGAAACAGTACTGTCTCAGAAAACCCTGGGACCCCCCGAGTGACATTCCAACTCTGTTCTTTCTGATTGTTTTTTTGTTCAGGGATTCGGGAGCCCCACATTTAAAAACAAGACTATTTCTAGAACCCCCGGACCCCCGAAAAAACTATGTTTTTGGTTGTTTGTCTATAGTTGTTCTGCGTTTTGTTCTACGGTTTGGGGTTTTCCTTTCTAGGAACAGTGTTGCTTGAACACCTCGGGTTCCGCAAATCCCCCCAAACACCCCAAGCTCCCCCCAGAAAAGAACCCGAACTCGGGGGCCAGAACTCCTGAATAATCCTCCAATTCCGGATTTTTTTCGGGGGGTCCGGGGCCCCACATTTCAAACAAGATTATTTCAGCCCCCCCCGGAGAACCCAACTTGAAAACAAGATTATTCATAACAACCTCCCGGAAAACATATTTGTGATAAGAGGAGGAGGAGGAGGAGGAGGAGGAGGAGGAGGAGGAGGAGAGAGAGGAGAGGAGGAGGAGGGAGGAGGAGGAGAGGAGGAGGAGGAGGGAGGGGAGGAGGAGGAGGAGGAGGAGAAGAGCGAGGAGGAGAGGAGAGGAGGAGGAAGTAAGAGGGAGGGAGGAGGGGAGGATGAAGGCGAGGGGAGGCGAGGCGAGGCGAGGCCAGGCGAGGCGAGGCGAGGGGAGGGGAGGGGAGGGGAGTAGGAGGAGCAGGAGGAGGAGCAGGAGGAGGAGCAGGAGGAGGAAGAGGATCCTTTCCTGCCGCCTCTCAGGTCATCCATCTTCGGTGCCCTCGATAAGCGGCAGCGGTCCGGCTCCTTCGAGCCGGCGGCAGCAGCGGGCGCAGACCTCGACTTCGACGGCCGCGCCGACTTGCTGAACGACCTGCTGGAGGATTCCCGCCCGACCCCAACGGCGAGGCGGAACGCCCTCAGAGGCTTTGGCCGACGCGCCGCGCGGCGACTCCAGGCGCGTGCATGCCCCACACCCCACACCTCCTCTCTCCCTCCCCCCTCCCCCTCCTGCTCCCTCTCGCCCATTGCCCCACCCTCCTCCTTCACACACACACACACACAAGCGTACAGCACCACCCACGCACACGAGACTTCGACTAGTTACAAGGACTCCTCCTTCTTCCTCCTCCTCCATATCTCACGCGTTTCCCCACAGTCTCGCGACACACCCACATGTGTGTTCCCGCGCGCGACGGCACGTACAGAGGCCACGGCCTCGCCTCGCCTCGCCTCGGTCAGGCCCGGAGGAGGCTCCGCAGCGGTAGCTCGCTCGCTCGCCCCCTCCCCGAGCTGGCTTTGGCTCACGCCTCCCCCCAGGGTGTCGCGGGCCCTCCGCCCCCCGCCGACGCAGAGCGCCTGCGCGGCCCGCACGGGGCCCGAGGCAGCCAGCGGGGGCGGCCCTCGCGGGGCCCGCCGGCCGTCGCGCGGCGGCGTGCCAGGTCACCGTCGAGGTCGCGGGGCCGTTCGAGAACTCGTCGAGTCCGGAGGAAGGGCCTCGCCCAGGTCTGCCCCAGGGCCGTTCCCCTGCGCCCACCCCGAGGCCCTTCCGCTAGACCTGGCTTGCGCCTACCCCAAGGCCTCCCCCTCTGATTGGGCCCACCGCAGACCTCCCCCAAGGTCGTTCCGCTAGGCGTATCCTATTCTTTCCTGGTGTAGACCCTTGGTCTCCCACCGCAGCCGGCCGATAGCCGCCGGACCCGGGCCATCCCATCCCAATTGCAAAATAGAATACAAAGTCTACGTGCTTCGTCACAACAGTGGCATCATGTCGCCCATGTCGCAAGATGCGTGGCATGAACGGGACGGGGCGCGCATCCCGCGCGAAAGGCCGAAATGTCATTCTCGCCTCGGCGTCGCGCTGATTTTTCTAACTGAGCTCCCGCTCGAGCGCGACGCACATTTTTCGGACGCATTTTCGTCAACTCGCGAGCAGACGAAAATGTCCCGCTCGCCTCGGCGCTGCGCATACAGTTTGCTACGACAATTGCAAGTGGAATTGTGCAGTTTTCGACAGACGAGCGTCGCGCCACGATGGCAGCTTTTTTTTTGGTGCGATGCAGAAGTCACAGAATGCTCTCCGACATGCCATTGTCTGGCGTGCCCTATCTAACTCTTCGCTGACGCTCATTGTCGGACGTGCCTTGTGCGAGACAGAGTGTCGCAAATTAGCAATTGTCTGGCTTGCGTTCTCTCATTTCTCTGAGACGCTCACTGTTCTAGGTGCCTCGCCTACCTCCCGCACCTCCCATAGCGGCGAGCTTTGCACCGCGCCAGGCGAGCGGGCATCCCCCTCACGAGCTTCCGCAGGCGACTCCGCTTCTGGCCGGGCGTCGTCACCTCGTGGCTCCTCGGGACCTGCGCTGCCCGCTGCCGGAACTGCGCCTTGGTGATCACCCTCTTGGCGTGGAAGTCATCCTGCTCCCGCAGAGGCGCGCCCCTACACGGCCACGCCCACGCCGTCTCCATCGGGCCCAGATCGCCCGAATTCGGAGGGAAGCGCACCGACGTGAGCCCGCTCGCCGGGTGGAGGTCGAGCTGCCGCAAGAACGGTTCGCCGTCGTGCCAGACCACTGAGCGCTTCTTGCGCGCGTTGCCTCCGCCTGCATCTGCGGCGCCTTTGGCGTGCTCGGCGCGTGTGGCCACGCGCGCGGCGCG